ATATATATATATAATAATGTTTAAATATATAAATATATGTTAAAATTTATTTGTGTACATATTCTGCCTATATGTGTATGTATATACTTATATATAAGCAATTATTGTTAATGTATAATAGGATGTATGTATATTTAGTAGATATAAAAGGTATATTAATATAATTTAGGAGTGGTGTGTGCTAAATACCTATTGATTATAAAGCTATCGTGTATATTATGTGTAAACTGTCATTGATCGGTGCTTTAAATTTTGATTTTAAAATTCCAAAGATAATGTTAATCAAATATTATATGATGGGTTGAATAATTATACAATATTAGGAATTGGTATGCACATGAAAACAAATATTGAGAAATTTACAAATTTATTTTGGAATAGCATTAAGATGGTGTCAACAAAGTTAATTACTAATTGTGATTGCTTTGCTGTATTCCTTTCATACGTGGCTGCCATGTTATACTTTGGCATTGTAGACCATTACATTGTTATTATAATTTTGAAATAATTTAGAAGTTATGAGAGGATCCACGATGAATGTCGATAAAATTTGTTTCTATAAAATCTACACATTATCGCCGACTTTTGTCGACTCTGGTCGGTCGAAGCGGGGAGTTCCCGATTGTGTCGGGGACGGCTTGACAGTACAACAATAGCAGCAAAAACGCTGTAGTGACAGTGTAGCGATTTTATGGAAATCATGCTTAACATGTTTTTTTTAGTGCACGAGTTTTTCATATTAATTATATGACGTACCATTAAAGTTTAATTCATGCGAAAAAATATCATTACTGAATTAATTTTAAGCCAGAAAATGTGCAATTGTAACACAGGGATTGTGGGCTTCTCTTCCCTTGGCCGGCTGGAACTGCCACATTGTATGGTACTCTATTTATTTATTTATTTATTTAGAAAATGCTTTTGCAACAGCGGCATCCATTACAATAATGGTGCATCCAAAACTAAAGTAATAAAAAGAAAATAAATACATACAAGTAATTAAAATTGCCAAACAATACAATGTAGAAAAAGTCACAAAATAAAACATAAAAGCATTGAAATTAAAATTACATTCGACAAGACTTAATCTCTAATCTCTTGGCCCATGCCTTTTTAAGGTATGATTTGCAAAAATCATCAAAAAGCTTATGGACCATGTTAATTGAATTATTTGGAAGATTAGGTACAAACTCAGTGCAATCTCCACCTAAAGTAAAGGTACTGTATATTGGTAAATTAATAGTTATAATCCTATATCTATTGTACCCATTAGTTTTGTTTCATATTGTCTCCTGTTACGCCATTCATGTTTTTTAAACGTTAGTTATATTTTTTTAACTTGATTTATGTTTACAATTTAGCAATATCAATGCAGTTTTAAGACCTTTATTTGTATTGTATTAGTTACTATCAGCGAGTAATCTATTATTTCATAACGCGTTATACGCAAAATGTATGGCGTCATTTGGTGGATCAGTACAATTTGAACTTTATTCGATTTACTGTGTCGGTATCGTGATGATAAGTAAAACAAACATGTTCTGTTTTGTGTACAATCGTGTACGTGCTATTGAATTTAGTATCTTCCCTCCCACAGTACATTAAGAGTAGAATACAATGTAAGTTTGTAGATCGTATTTGCGATGATTCGTCGAATTGTCGTGTTTAGAAATTAGTAGAATGATACATTAATTATATTCTATGCATAATAATTTTTTTTCATTAAGTTCTAATTTATTTTTTGTTTTCCTTTTTGACGGGAATAAATGAATAAAAATATAATACAAAATAACCGTGTCATTTTGTGAAGTTGAAGTTGACACATAAGCTTAATCATTAAAAAAATGAACACTGATGAAAATGGCTATAAATCTGACGATCTTATTATACTGGATTATTGTTTTTGTTTTGATAGACCATGGAAATTTTACCGTCTTCAGTATGGCCCCAATCACACCACCAATGAAAACAATAAGAGCCACAAAATATGAACACAACAAAAACAATTTAATAAATATTCATATTTTCATATCAAAATTTACAATATATGTCTAGATAACAACATAAATATATTGAAACAAACAGACGATACTTAATTTAGGCTTTGGAAGTATAGGATAAAGTGGAACACCTCGAACTTTCGTCTTACAAAATATAATAATAATGTAAAATATCAACATGGAAAACGCATGTTACAGATGGTTATATAGGCTAAGAAGAGAAATTTGAAGCAAAATTAATCTGTTTGAAGCGAAGTCTAAAGCTTTATTGAACCATCATTCAGTGGTTCTTGTTTAAGCCTGATTTTAAATACCTGGTTATGGAAGATTAAATATGGAAGATAAACAATAATGATTATTAAAAGATTAGGTAGATTACTTTACTGCCAGATCATAAGATACAGTGGCGTACCATAAAGATGGGTGGGGTGCACACAATTTAGATTCTCCCACTCGAAATTTTTACTGAGCAAATCACCTTGTATAATCATCCAATTCCTATTTAGGTATTTCCCATCTCACTAAACCATCTTCCCCCTCATCCCCACCCCCTGACCTCTTCTTCCCTTGTCCGCTTCTCCCCATCATCCCACCATGTCAATACTCGCTATAGATACAACACTGAATACACGTTTCATATAATAATACAAACAGATCCACTCTTCTGTACCCTTTTATTCTTTGACTCATTGGTGTTCTGAAGGAAAGAAATAACCAATATGCAATTATAATTTTATATTAACAACATTAATTTATCCAATGATTATTTGTCGTGAATTGTCAGTGCCAACTCTGTGGCACAATGCGTTACCATCATGTATATTCTGTTTTATTCATTTCAATGTCGATCCACGTTGATTTTTACTTTTAGTAATATAGAGAGGTTGGTAAAACACGACCAGCCATACATTTAATGTAAATGTAGACTACCCATTTTGCAAAGGCACAAGTTGTAGGCCTACTTTTAAAAAAAAAGGGGGAAAAAAGCACTTCCAAAAAACAGGATCTCTATATACCGTAGCTCTTTGGTGTATACTGTGAAAATAAGCTCGTTCACACGTTTTTTTTGTTTTTGACATGATAATTATGTAGGCCTTTTAGTATTGGATGCAGCCAGTAGCATGAATGTACGGCTAAATTAACTAATTTTAAAACCTCAGTGCCCCTGATAAACATACCTGCCAGTCGCTGTCATCAAAATCAACAAGATCACCCTCCGTTTGACATGGTTCCTTTGGGGTCTACCATTAAGAAAGAAGTAATAATTCATAACGTGCTTAACCGATGTAAATTTATTTCTGTAGGCTATAATATTATTTCATAATATATTAACGTTTATCATACCTCACTTTCTTTGTTTTCCTTTGTATTATCTACACTGTTTTGAGTATCTGATGTTTCATTTTCCTGCTGAAAATAAATGTGATAATGGTTTGTATAGAAATCTAAGATAACATATTTGGAGTTCATTTGACAAGTTGACACGAAAGCATTTTGAAGACGTTACATTGGAGATGTGGCCGCTGGAAGTAGTCTGAGTACGCGTCTTTAGGCAATCATATAATTTGTCTTTATTTCTTCTATTATTATAATTGACGAATACGGGTATTATAGGTAATTCACATATATTCAACAGAGTGGACATTTTTTCTCATTTATTACAAACTAAAACATCCATCTGTATTTGAAATCTTCAATTACAACTTGACAACCTGTGTCTTTTAAGTTCCATTTGGCTATTCTTACAAGAGAAAATTACATTTAAGTATGTGTATTAACTGTAGACCTACATTAGTATGGAAAGATCTTTTAATTACAGACCCGTAAGGAACCGTCACGCGCCAAGCCCCGCCCCTTAGATATCGATGCAGGTTCCACAAAACGACCGGAAACACAGTTTGTATAACACAGGTGTGTTTGTGGGACGTGCGCGTTTTCCTGGCTTAGTTGCTAAGTTCAATCAATAGACGCTTCCACTAAGCCCCGCCCCTTGGATAGTGTTGCTAAGGTCCCACAAAACGACAGTGGCAGCATACGGCCCGGTTAGCAGGATCCAGATAACAAACATACGCGCTTACCCTTCTTGCGGTTCATACAACACAATCCCCGATGCAGATACCAAGAAAATGATGATCTGATCACTAGCCAATAGGAAACTAGAAGTTGGAAAAGCGTACGAAACGCGCTCAACTTGCTAACTGATAGCGCTCGCTAATCGTTAGCGTATCCGGTGGTGGTAACTGATTGTTTGGTTAGCGATATGTTTTTTTCATATACGAGAATTGCCAATGAAGAAGAATTTAGCAGGGTAAGTTGCTAAATACAACGGGTTTAGCCGAGGGAACGTGACTTCATATGTTGACGTCATGCATAATTTCAGCTATAGTTCTTAGGATCCCTGGAATATTATCAATTTATGGGGTCTACATTTGCAATATTTTAAAAATAGTTTCTATTTCAAAGGTACTTCTTTTTTAAATTCCATGTCTATGGTCTTTTGTGATGTCTCTGTTAGCAGTTTTAAATCTCGTCGATTATTTAATACAGCAATATCACGATTAAGTCATGTTATGTCTTTTTCTTAGAGATTTTAATTTTTATAGTTTTTTTTTTATATTTCTCTTTCCTTTTTATATATTTGTATTTACTGTTGAGGGCCTCTTTAAGTCAGCTTCGCTGTGAGAGCCCCCTCGTGAAATATTATTTAATAAATAAATAAATACACAGAATGAAATAATACATAGGCCTAGTTAGTCTTTAGCGGTAGGGATTAGGCCAAAGAAAAAAAATGAAAACAACTCAATGGTCTATACCACTAGTACTACAATGCTGTACTTCGTCTGTGGATTTTCTAACATTAATCCCATGAACAATGATCTTACTGGAAGAGAAAACGGTTACCGTAGTTCCCGATCCGGATACTAGGGCTCTCGTGTGAACCTGACCAGTAAAAACATATGCAAACACGTGCGTTTGTGAGACGCGCACGTATTCCTTGCCCTGTTCTGATTGGTCAATTGTTAATTTTGATTGACACGGCAGAAAGGTCAATCTGGAATGGTCTATTCTACAAGATTTCATCTAGAGTGAATACATAGGATCTACTAAATGAATTAATGTAGATCTGGTCATGTTCTGTATGTGCTGCTTGCTTGCACAATATTAATAACAGTACTCGAACAGGAACATATCTCACCTTTGATTTCGTTAATGAAGCGTCAATGAGCTGTGTAACTTCGTTTAGATCCATATTGACAGATAATGTCCGAGCTGTTGTATGTATTGTATCACCCCCGGACTTGTCTTCACACTGTGGAGGGATTGATGTTATAAGTTGTGTCGTTTTGGATAACACATATGTTATAAAACATGTTCTTCTCATCATCTTCATTTACTGTACAGAACCTCTTTGAGTTTAGTAGCAATTAAGTTCCCCCACCTCTTCGCATAGCCAAATTATTTACGCCAAGCGAGTTATGAACATAAAATAAAAATATGAGCTTTCATGACGTAGGGGAGGAGTACTGCATTCTCAATGATTGCACCCACTCCGCCCGAAAACCAACCTACACCCCTGTTGGAACCGGGTTTTGTTGTTGTTGTTGTTTTTTTTTTTTGTGGGGGGGGTTTGGGTGGGGATGTTTTTCCTGCTTCCCTATTGAATTAGTAACTGGTAATGGATGGTCGGATGTGGTCTTATGGTTTCCTTAAAACATAAATACCACGCACCTGAATCGCGTAAGTGACGTCAGCTCCTTTCTCAATGAGTAATTTAGCAACGTTTATCGACTTAAAGCAGATAGTCAGCATAAGAGCACTGGCATTCGGCATATCAGATTGGTCCGGATCCTATAACGAAAAAATCCAACAATAGGTCTACTGAGGACAGTTACACTTTTAACTCATTTATTTACCTCGTCCTCAATGAAGGAAGAACTACATAGGGCCTACTGTGTGTAATTTCATATTATTTTACTTATAAGTTGCGTTATTGAGTTCCGCGACAGATGGAAACACAATGAGGATGTTTTTAAAGGGGGAAAGTCAATGTAAAAATAGGCTTCGTTTTTTGTTTTTGTTTTTTCTTATAACTTAAAATATTGCTATTTGTTATATAGGTGATTTTTTTTAAAATTATAAACAACTAACCGTGTATTTTCCATTTATATTTGCACCTTTGGTTATTGCTGCCTCGGCGTCTTGAACATTATCAACCTTTGCCGCTGCTAAAAGCTCCTGTAAAATAATAAACCAACGACTGCTTAATATTGTGTCCAACAACGTAGCTCAATTTTTGATTCGGCAGGTTAACTGTGATGATAACATTGACTAACTATATATTTTATGTTGTTATACACACACACACATACACACACACACGCACACCCACACACACATATAAAACTGTCTCTTATACACATCTAGATGTGTATAAGAGACAGTAACTTACTTTATTAGCAGACACTGTCTGCTCGATGAGTTGCGCTAATGAATTGAGTTCTTTTTCGTTCGCAAGTTCCACTGCTGTTTTCTCCGTTTTGTCGACCTGATAAAACGAATGAGTTAAGTACTTTCATATTTCTCATAATAAATATATTATTATGTGTCCAAACCAAATTTTACTGAGTTACTGCAATAACGATAAAATAAGCCCCTCCCCCATCCAAAAACAAAAAATAAATATAGGATGGAGGTTCAGATGTAAACAGTTTGAATATCAATGAGCGTTACGTACAGTGACAGAGCAAGTGAGATCTGCGCCCCTGGAGATCAACATCCGGGCAATCTCTTCATGATTGTTTTCGATAGCTAGCATGAGCAGAGTTTTCTTTGTCATGTATCCGCCCTGAAAAAACAATCGGAGCCAATTCTAACAACTATAAAAATATAGAATAATAATATGCGAGATGAACAAAAGAGATGCGTCTTATAAGCCGGCGATTTATTAGATTAGAAATAAGGCATGGGCTTACAAGGAAGTTTGGAAGAACATCAGTATTATCATGAAAGATCTTCATTCTTGTCATACGAATTATTTAATTTAACCCCACGGAAGTTATTCGTAACAATACAAAATGATATTGCGGTAATGAGTTAAAATATCCGAGTTTTTACCTGACTCTCATCGACATCGGCTCCTTCATTTAAGTATTTTTCAACGTTTGATCTATCTCCATTCAGGACGGACTCGATTACATTCTGTAAGAAAGCGAAAGTTAGGTTAGGTATTTTAGAGATGATGATTTTGTTCAATAGCCATTAGTTACGATCGACAATTCCACACAGGTGTTTTACCGCATAGGCCTACGTTCGTCATCACGGCTGGGCATGTAATTTTGATCTTTTTTGTAGCATAGCATTAAATAAAGTATTGACCATAACAACTTGCAATGAGGAACGGCAACATTTCCGTCGATTCATTAAAACCAATGGACCTTTCCGGCGTTTCAAACAAAATTAACAACTGACCAATAAAAAAAACGTGTTTACTTACGTAAGTCTACGCTTCGCTGTCAATTTGTGGAACATTAGTAAGAGTAAAGAGCGAGGCTTAGCGGATAGGTCCGATTCGTAAAGTTGTTAAAACAGAATAGAAAATCGCAATATGACAAACATTTTATTATCAGTGGGTCTTGTGTTAGGATGATTAATTTTTAGGCTACTTACTTCTCGAAGTCGCTGTTTAACACTCCAGTTATCACTCATCTCTACCTGTGACTATGCTTATATTACATCAGAGCAATTGAACTTCCAAGATCATAGGACTCTAGAAATATTTTTGGAGAAAACGTAAAGAAAACGTGAGACTGAATACAAATATAATAATTATATAAGTTGAGTTTGTGTGTGGGGTGGGGGGGGGGTAACGCCTGTTTATCCCCCTCTAAAGCCGCCCTTGTCTATATTATGATGTTCAACACCAGTTGAACTCCAATCGACAACTGTTGTAGTTTTGCATTCATCGTTCAATCACAAAATGATGTGTTTGCATAACCTTGCTGTGTGGCGAGATCGGATGGAAAATAGGCCTACAATCACTAAAAATCCATAGGCCTACTAACATTTACACAGCCGCACCTAAACACAATAAAAAGTAAACGACAGAAACGATAAGATAAACGTTAGTAATACCACAGATCCTAAGTAATACTATTCCATTTAATTTGTTTTGCCGTTGCTAAGAAGCAGTTCTCTGTCTAAATGATATCGGCAAACATCAACCTATTTGCAAGATTGATAAACTGCTCATGAAATTGCGAAATATATGTCTTATAGACAAGAGCTGGCTGAATGAAAAAAAAAAATGTTGGTGTTTATGTTTCTACGCAGACACTCATGAAACTCTGTAAGAGGTAGAATCAATAATGATACCTCATGGTTTCTTATCCCCTTCGTTCAACAACAAAACGACGAAGAATATTATACCGCCGGATCAATACATTTGCAGTTTATTGTTGTGTGTACGGAAATAACGGGGTGGCAATAGACAATAATATTCACCTTGCCTGTCGTAATTATTGCGTTGATTTTAATGGCAGACTTTCTCTAATGAAACGTATTTCATTTCCTAACGATGTCCTCAGATTATCTGAAGAGTATGTTCCGGAGAAACCATTAATATCTTTTATGCTATTACGAATAATGATCATTGCATAAGTAATTACGTATGAACCTTTCATTCGATTCTAAACATGGCTATACGGATATAGATATTATTATTTGTTGTCATTATCGTGCATTATGCAACGCAATTAGCTTCACGTTCGCACGATATCATAATGTTTGTATTTAATGTTTTTGGTTAAATGTTTATCTTGTGCTAAGTCTCATAGCAAGAACAATTTCTATGTGTATTCTAGTACTATATAATTTAAAATTTTATTTAAATTAATCTTCATGTTACACTATATAAAACATACACATAACACAAATCAATTTTATTTAATTAATCTTCAGAAATACAAATTATAAACACCAAGCACATAACACAAATCTGTGTATAAAAACCATCGTGGATCTAAATAAATTAATATTAAAACTAGCTACAGTAGGTAGACCTGTGACACTGGCTTAAATGGGTACAAATAAGACTCCACTAACGTTTTACATATTAATTAACATAGGCCTATTAAAAAGAACAAACACGGCAAAATGGAATATGATGTACTCAAAGCCTATAAATTCCGACATCAATAATATTCAGTAAACGCCATATAAGAACGCTGCCGTGATATGTTTTTGTTAACGTGAAGGAATTTGATAGGCGCCCTACATTAGAATTTGCAACACTCTTAGGTAACATACATTATACACATACATTAATACATAAAATCAATGACTCACCGTTTTGCCAACTCCAAACACAATGCTGTCGGCGTAACACTGTTTTTTTTTTTGTAATTTATTATACAGAGCCTAAATTTTTTTTTCTCTGCGATATAGGCTTATACTTTTAAAGATCTTCCAAGGAGGTGAACACTGCCGTAGATGCCCAACCATAGCGTGTTTATAGTAACCCTGACTACAACATGACGCTTCAATAAGCTTGTACAATGATCGCCGTGAATGACACTTAAGAGGATAAATAAATAAAAGCTCACCTAAACTACTCAACAACTGATGACGTCATCCGCTCAACAGCCAATCGTAAAGCTATTTAAAGATCTAATAAAAGGATCGATCTATATCGATCAAAAGCCTACTTTAATTTATTTATTTATATTAAATAATCAGCACCAGTATAATAAGGATAATAATGTTGCGGAGTGCCATTTAGAATTACATAGGCGGGTCATGGACAAACAAAACAACATAGGCCCTACACACAATAAAGATGCCATCTGACACAAACACACACCAACCAGTGGCGTAACTACCGCAGGTTCAACAGGTTCATTGAACCTGGGCCCCGACCGCCAGGGGCCCCGATCTGTAAGGGCCCACCCCTTTATAAACAAAAAATAATAAAGCAATGTTTTATTTTGACATTTAACCATTTGCTTCCTTCCAGGTAAGTAATGTTGGAACCAAAATAACTCATTTCCTTTACATCCATAGTTTTCAATATATTTTTAGTAGCAATGTAAGATTTATTGTGTCAAAACACTTTGCAATATCAACATCATTTCGCGGTCATTGGCGGATCTGGAGGGGATTCAGGGGGGTCCTCACCCCCCCCCCCCCCCCCCCCCCCCCCCCCCCCCCCGGGGAAAAGAAAAAGAAAAATTCTAGACCCGTGAGCTGAAATGTTTCTTGTTACAATGGGAAAATTGAAGTCGGGATTCATTGAATGTTTTCAAGAGAGGGAAAGAGCCGACCCTCTTTCTTATTGGGGTTTTTTGAAACACACTTACTTCCTCCTAAATTTGAACCCAGATCCCCCTTGTTTATTAATGGATTTTGGTCGATCATTACACGGTTTCTTTCTGAATGCATATTGGTCAACATCTATAAGGTCATTTTCATTGACTGGTCTATAATATTGTTAATTGCTTGTTACCTTTACTGTACCGTACCTTATATATGGGGTACAGTCATTGAGACTTTCCAATCGTTTGGAACAATACCATTCATTAATGATTTATTCATAATGGAACAAGAGATTTTGCGATATAGCGTGATGCAAGTCTTAGTAGCCTAATATTGAAATTATGAACATCAAGGTTATATTCAGATAAACATACATTTTCATTAGCCCCCAGATACAATTCCCGTAAAATTTTGTGTTTGAATACAATTTGGATTTTTCCATTCTGTTTCGACTTCTTTAATTGAGTTTAAAATTTCTGTTCCTATATTACTAAAATAATCACTAAATTTTTCACAATCAAGATTTGGATGAATATTGTTTGAATTTTTGTTTTTCCCTATAATTTATTCATTTCATCCACAAACGTTTGGTACCACGTTTATATTTATTTTCAACTGATTGGATTTTCGAATTTTATACTTGTGCATTTGTATTTAAGTAGGCTAAACGATAATTATAAAAGGTGTCTGGCAGTCATGTTTATCGGATAAGTGCTGTTTGTTTTGCTGTTTGTTTTGCATGATCTAATGATCAAGAAATTAAGTAAAAATACAATGAGATACAGTCAGAATTTGTGTTCAGGTGATCCATTTGGTTTTATTTAGCTTAATTATATAAAACTAATGTATTAAATAAAGAAACACCAATTAAATAAATATCGAATGTGCTTTTGTTTTGGTCATTTTTGTTTTGTTTTTTGGGGTTTTTTTGTTTGTTTGTTTTTTGTTTTGGTCAATTTTTGGCAATTTCTTTCAAAACACGTACCCCCCATAGATCATCATGTAGGCCCAGGTTTATAACATAACATTAAAGGTTCTTATTGATAAACAAGTATGCAATGCAACAGCCCAAAAAATAAACAATATGAAAGCAGAAATGGAGTACACTATATTGAACGAGGTAGGCAGATGATGTAGATACTGAGTGTAAGAATTAAGTATCTATATAGAGTCATTCCTCTCAGTGGAAAGCGTGGATCCACCAATTCTTCCTACTGTAAGGAGGAAAGAGGGCGCACGTTATATTAACCTTACTGCCCATTGGAAGAAAACACACTTCTCACATCGTGAGGCTCACAAGTGAGGATTATTACAAATATTTCTTAATTCGGGATAATCCACGAACGTCAGAGTTTTTTTTTTTCATTCCCAGTGGATTCTTCTGGTGGTGATGGCGCAGACTCCCCTACTATTTTCCGAAGAGTATAGACCTATGTCTTTCTTAACGTGCTCATGAGTCACATTGCACACATAACCATAATGTCTGTTCGCAAGACGGTGCTTGCATTTTGTTAAATATTCGCACCTGTACTTGTATTCAGCCCTCTAGCTTAAACTTAATGAGCGTATTTAATTGAACGTGTACGGTAGCATGATGGTTCAGGGTGCGCATACAGTCTTGCTCGGAATGATGATTTGGCGGTAGGGGGTACGTCTAGAGCCCACATCACCTTAGGGGGAGGCGAGAAAATTTTGAGAATATGGTCCTCTAGTGATCGGAAATTGCACTCTCATACCTTTAAAATCTTACCAGTAATTCATATCAACAATGCAATACATGAATCATTTTTCTTAATACAACGATCGCAACGTCCGCACCCCCACCCCCACATCCGCCCCAGGCAGTAGTACCACCAGTTTTATTTAGCTGACTGAGCTAAACTGACTTAATTTGACTTTCTGACTTGAGCGTATATCTAGGCACATTATTTATTAAAAAAAAAAAAAAAAAAAAACAACTCAAAAACTCCAAAACACGAAACTCCTGCTGCTTGAACATTAGATTAATTGCAAATATGAAATTAAATATATAAAAATATAGATGCACTTGCAGACAAAAGAGAAAGTTTATATATATATATATATTTTTTTTATAGCATTGCATGTCTATTATTAATAAAGCAATGGTAAAAGGTCATGCATAGCACATTCCACGCGGTTTAATAAGCTTTCATTTAAAAAAAACCCCTAAAATTTTGCCACATAAAAGAGTAAAACTTATTTTCTTATTATTATTGGAACATAATGTGGAACGGCGTTATTATAAAGTTTTAAAAAGCGCCGTTAAAATGATTTAAAAAAGCGCCGTTAAAATTGAGTTTTAACGGCGTTAAAATAAGTTTTAATGCCGTTAAAACAGAGCAAAAAAGCGCCGTTAAAATAGAGTAAAAAACGCCGTTAAAATCTTATTTTAACGGCGTTAAAATAAGTTTTAGCGCGTTAAAATAAGATTTAACGCCGTTAAAATAAGTTTTAACGCCGTTAAAACAAAATTAACGCGTTCTCATTATGGCCCCGATGGCTAACCATACACGTACGTAATTGGCGTCAGAGAGTATATACTCTTTGTTGGCGTATACCCTGGATGTAATTTCGGAAGTGAAAATTACCATAGCGACATCAATAATGTGAATAAGTTAGTAGGCTCTAAAACTCCGTTTCTATTTAATTAGTAATCTGAATACGCTATCTGTAATATTATTGCGACCGCAGGGCGTCTAGGCATTATACTATGTAGCTCTCTGCTGCTGTGAATATCGCTCGTCGGTAGTTTACATGGCGGCTATGTTTTGTTGTGAATATACCAATCAAACATGACTGATTTTTGACAGTTATATATCTTCCACACTCATGAAAGATGAGTTCGGAAGAGTTTGGATTAGGTGCTACCGGTGTGGTAGGGTCTCCTGTTAGAAACAGTACCGGTAAGTAAGATAATCAAGATTTAAAATACGATACCGAATTGTTGGGATTGCCATTCTGAATCCGTATTATTGTATGTGTATTGCTGATAAGGACGCTAGAGCACCTGGTTTACCAATGGGTATCGTCCTTCAATAAATACCCTTTGTACTGTAATTGTAATGTAGGCTCACCACTTTGTTTTAACGGTTGAGGAGGAGACGGTTAAGCCTTTCGCTCCCACTAATTGTTGGCTACAATAGCATGTTTGGTTTTCTTCATGCCGATTATATTATTCGATTTTTGTAGTATATTTACCTGGCCTTGGCCTAGGCCTGTAGTAAGGTTGAGCCTACACCGGGGGGCCAACACAACTCATCACGACATACTGTACAGGCAGTCTCTCTCTCTCTGGGTCTGTGCTGTTGGTGGATGGAAGTAAGCTAGCCCGGAACTAGAGAAGACGAACTAGGGACCTAGATAGGTCTAGAATGCTATAGGCTAGGCCTAGGCCATGTGGCTTTGTACTTTTTAACGATAGAAATAAGATAAGCTGAAATATAGCCATGTTAATATTATTATCACGTTGACTACCAGACCTTTTTTTAAGGTTCCTTCCTGTGTGCCAAAACAAGTTTACATGTACAAACACACTTTTTTGAAATTTTATCAAGTCAAAGGCTATACTGTATCATCAAAATGATGTGTCTAATAAATTGGCTTGAAAATATTAATTTTGGGGGTGGGGGGGGCAAGTAAACTCGTCGACGGCACTGTGATAGACCTTTTTATTGTCTATGCCAAGTGCGAGTTATCTCGTCTGCTTTTTCCATGGTTTGGTATATGTTCAAAGGGCACCCCCACTTGTGCTGCTCGAGTGTATTACCGGCAACATAACACAACAAACATACATACGTCATTTGTACGTTATCGTCTGTATCTTCCCCAAACTACCAGCCGTTGAGTCTGTGATTCTACAATGTATAACAAAGAAGTTATAAACGCTAAAATGTTACCCCAATTTTGACGAGTATACTGTCCCTGGCACCCTCAGCAACACCCTGTGGGCGAGTATACTTGTCGCTGGCAGACAATGTGTTATAGTTAATATTCTAAATTCCTCCTCTGTTTTATCAAACACAAACCCAAACCTTACTGAGCAACTGCTGTACTACTGAACAATAGCTTTATATAGCTTTTTCAATAAATAATGTATCAAAACATAATAATTTCAGATTAACAACATGGAAGTTAATCATTTAAAGTTGTCAGATAATGTGAATCTCCATTCATTAGGAAAAAAAATGAATGGACATTTTCCGAGGGGAGGGGGTTCTCTGGGCATGGGGTCCAGAATCGAAGCCCTGGTGGGATCAGGAAAACCCACTAAAGCCAGAGGAGTTTTGTGTTTTATGTGTCTAACTAATGCCATAAAAGCAGATACAGTATGTTTGAAAAAAGTATGCAGCAAAACATTCCATCTGAGTGGGTGCATTAGTTGGGTTGTACTGTAGGACTCGTTCAGAATTCGAGGGGGGTTCGCCAGAAAAGAGGGGGTTTCCTAGAAAAGGGCGTTCGCCTGAACCATAAATAAGTCCCCTGGCTACGGGCCTGCATAAAATTGCTACATGCTATCACTGACTCTTTTTGGCAATGCAGATTATTCTTTCTAGTGTGGACAGCTACAGGATACAACTATTCCAGTTATTACGCTGTGCTGTAGTGATAGTGCACAGTAGCGATTTTATGGAAACCCAGCTTAATAGGATTTTTTATGATGAATGATTAATATTGTTCATTTGTCCAAATTCTTCAGCTGTCTTATTAGTCACAAGACACAATTTTATTAATCAAATCTATTCATGCAGATAGCCTGATCGGACAAAAAAAAACAAAAAAAAAACCCAGAAAAACCAGCCAGACGCAGACACATAAATAATTGTAAACTTCCGCCAACATTACTATAAAAAAATGTTTTGAAATGTAAGTTAATGTTGCTATAATCTTACTATCATGTTTTAATATTCAAAACAAAAATCATAGTAATTAAACTCATCATTATTGTCAAAGCTAAAAAGTATCATCGAATACTCAGTTTGTAAATTGCGAACTCTTTGTTTCAAAAGTTCATTAAAGATGCCATATGACGTAAGTGCAAATAGAAAAATTTATTAGATTATCACTTCTGCCCGCATCTAAAATTCAGGAAATATTGATGCGGAAATAAAAATAAAACTTTTTTGCTGCATCAAGTATTTCAACAGCATAAAAATAACTATGTAATTTTGTGACTTCAAATACATTTTCCTTAAAAAACTATAAAATTAAACCAGTTTTTATACAATATTTATTACAGGCCAAATATAAACAGTCCCTCCCTCATCAATAAAAACAAAAGCAAAATAATCGATTAAAAAAAAAAAACCGCCCTCCCTCATCCCTCATCAATTTTTTTTAAAAAAGAGTGATAATCTAATATTTTTTTCTATGTTCCCTAAATGGGAAAACCTTTAAAATTAAATTAAATCATGGAATAGCTCATTTTTAATATTTAAAACAAAGGCAAAGTAGACCTAATTACAAAATAATACACAGAAAAAATGTTCACTGATTTACAGACTATACTACATAAAGTATTAAAAATTATAGACCGAACAGCAATACAACACTAGTATAATCTGAATTGAGGAAGTTTAGGATTTCCGATTGGATACTCAGAATTGTGATTTCCATGTGTGTCTATACTGTACGTGTTTAAGTTAGTAAAATTTTAAGTGGGCCTTCTGTATGTTGGAGAACAAAAAGTGTGCCTTGTACACACTTTATTGGTGTAAGTGTACTACTAAATTGTGTTTGCAGTAGCCGGTGTTAAAGTGTGCAAAGGTGGCGTTATTGTTATTAATTGTTATTGTTATAAGTTAATGTTGCCAACCTGGGCTGGTTGTAAGTAAAAATGATAATAAACCAAAGTGACACCAAAGCAGCAATAGTAATTAACTAAAATGGCAGTATTATACACAGTAAAACCAACAGTACCAGGACTATAAATAGAAGACTGAGCCAAAGGATATCACCATACTGCAGTTCTTTCTTTCTTATTTTCCAATTACTGTACATCTGTTCACTTGTTTTGTGCGTAGAGACCCTCATATTTTGTGCTGTGTAAACGGATAACTTTTTATCTGATGACTACAAAGTAGGTCTAAATAAAATTGTAGGAAAATAAAGTAAACATTGTTATTAAAAGGTTTTATCAAAATATGTAATTACTGTACTTTATTAAAGGTTAAGTAAATTGTAAATAATTGTTAAAAAAGATTATGCACACTAAAAAGTCCTGGCCTATTAGTATTATTTTATTTTGTTAAACTGGTTTTAGGCTGAAAACCAATAATTGCCAAGCAGAGAAAATTCTGTTCCATGACAGGAATTGAACCAAAGACCCTACACTAGGATTAGATGGCAAGCAACCACCAAGCTATTCAACTCCACTTCAAGTCTAGACTTACTGTATAAATACAGTATCAACTTCCCAAACCTCACATTAATGTTTTGTATGACATTTAACATTCTTTGTTTTTTTTTGGGAAAGGATTGACAATCTTAATAACTTAGTATATAAGTGTAAAAAAACATGTTTGAAAATATTTTATACAACAAAAACAACACCGCTTTTGTTAAATTGCCATTTTGGTTGCAAAGTATTGCTGTTTTTTATTGACCATTTGGTGATTTCTGTTTTAGCTTATTGTTGTTTTAGTTTATTAATGCTTTTGGTTTACTGTATTGACATTGTGACCCACTTCCAGTGTACCTATGTACAGTAACTTTTAAGTGAACTGTAAAGTGAGCCAAGTATACTGTTGAAGTGTGCCAATTGGTTGGGAGTGAAGTCGAAAGTGTGCCAAATTTGATGTATTATAAAATTCTTATAGTGTGATGTGTGTGTCTGCTAGTTCTTCAATAACTTCAATATAGATGATTACAGTACAGTATCTAAGTTTTAGTACAATACTGCTTACAAATACAAGTACTGGAGGATTACTAACTGAACATGTAATGTTTAAAGTAGACTAATGGTATTTCATATAACAGACAGAGCTTAGCTAATATTGTGTAAATAACCAACTGTCCTTCCTGTGTAGACCAATCTGCAGTAACCTTCCTTTGAAACTAAAAATGAACCCTAAATGGAATTTTTTAATGTATAGCATCAGTTTCACTCAAATACAGCTCATTATATTTATAAAAAAATTATTTTATTTGGAACCTGGTACAAATGTATGTAGCTAAGATTAGGTTTCCTATTTTAGGATTAGTGAATGCAATACTGTACATCTATGTAGGGTGTTATTATGAACAGTCAGTAAATTGCTTTGTGTGCCATTCCTTTTAGTGCTAGTGGATCTGTGGTGTGCTGTATCATTGATAATGAATGTTATAATGTATGTTCCAGTAGATTTTGAGCTCTGAGCAAATTTTCCTTTCAATTTCCTAGTTGCTCGATGCAAAACCTTATGAGAGCGAATTTTGAGACTTCAAATCAGTCATGATGAGCTTTTGTAAAATATGGTACTTTTTAGGGGTTACATTTTACCCAGTTACTGTATGTCTTTGTCTGAGATTCTAGAGCGGAATGTTTGAGAAGGGTCACTGCCTCAGGATTGGTTGTCTAAAAAAGGAAGTTTCTCTTCAAGAGTTAGTGTGTGCGTGAATTGTGTTCTTAGTATCTGTATGTTTGTTCATTAGAAGATTTAATTTTTCTATTAAAAATGTTTTACTGTATTTCTCATTTTTCCATCAAAGAAATTCAGCCAACCATATATTGGAAAGATTACTGCACGAAAGATATTAACCTAGTAATTCTATGTCATACAGGTTGCACTCAAGTGCTATAGTACAGTAAATGCTAATTGATACTTCAACAATTCATCGATAACCCTTTGAATAAATTAAAATGTACATTACTACAGTACTTTAAATTTAAATGATGAAAGAATACAATTTCAAAACATCCTATTGT